GTCGACTATTAAATCAGTCGTCGACGATTTTGATAGTCGACGTAATCGTGACTAGTCGACAAATCGTGGCAGCCCTATAGGCATCCAAGAACAGGTCTCCAGTAAAAAGAGTTAGACATAACCAGGCCCCAGATGTTCAGGTACTCCATGAGCATCTGGCAGCACAAATGACCCAGCTGCTAATGGATGAGACACCCAGAATGGCTAACTGAAGGCCACAGTTCTGTTACCCAAGGACCTCCAGAAGCGACCAGAAGGGACCAAATACCAATAGCCTGCCTCAGTACCACATGGAAGCTCCTGTCGGGCACCATAGAGGCTAAGATGAACAGGCACATGGCTCTCAATACATAAGCGTGGCATAGAAAGGGATAGGCAGAAACACCAGAGGGGCCAAACATGAGCTGCTGGTAGACCGAGCAGTCGTCCTAGACTGCAATACCAGACTGAACTGTGCACTGCCTGGACCAACTACAAGACAGCCTATGACTCAATGGCCCACACATGAATCCCCGCATTTCAACTTTATTTAGTTATTTATTTAATTTTGTACTTTTCCGAGTATTTTGATATTATTAGGATGATTTAAGTTTAACGAGTTAGTTCTGAGTTCATTCTTGCCACGTCTCTGAGTTTGCCCGTCAGACAATCCAGCACATAACAGCAGGGTGCAAGAAGCTAGCAGGCAGGGCATACATGGAACGCCATAACCAAGTGGCCGGCATAGTGTACAGAAACATCTGTGCCGAATATGGCCTGGAAGTCCTGAGGACAAAAGGGTGGTGGAGAATGGTCGAGCTAAGATCCTGTTGGACTTCCAGAAACAGACGGACAGAATGGTGGTGGCTAACCAACCGGACATAGTGGTGGAAGACAGAAGAAAATGGCCGTAGTGATGGATGTACCGGTTCAGAATGACAGCAATATCAGGAAGAAGAAACACAAGAAGCTGGAGAAATACCAGGGGCTCTTTTTTTTTTCCAGAGAAGACACTTTCACCTGTCAACCATTCCATACATAACTGCTTACATCTAATAGTATTGTCTGCTGTTATTGTACTGCTAATTTTAACATTTAACATGTTAACTGAGGCCTGTAAGATCTGAGATGTAGCTCCTCGGTTTTTCTGGAATTTCTCAAAGCTTGTCTGACCTTGGGGTAAATTGCATAGAATGTCAGCTCTTGGGAAGAATAATTCAATTCAATTCAATTTTATTTATATAGCGCCAAATCACAACAACAGTCGCCTCAAGGCGCTTTATATTGTACAGTAGATTGTACAATAAATAATAATAATAATAATAATCTGCTCTAAGATTACTGCTGATGTTTGTTCTTCTTGGCACTGTGTTAACTCGCACCTGACTGTATAGAGTCCTATAAAATCTTGACTTTTCCCATCACTACAGTTAGTCTTGCAAACTGCAACTATACCATTTTCTTTGCAGAGCACAAACAGCAGTTCAGCAGCACAATCCTTCACATCTGTGTCAACGTGGGTCATTAGGCGGACCAACTGGCCTCTGAGGGAGCTGTCCTGCTCAGGTCTGATGGCAACATCCCTCAGTGGAGGTAGGATCTATTCCAAATGTTGAGGTTAGATAAAAAATTGCTGATACAGTTTCCATTTTGTACTTTTTTTTTTTTTTTTTACCTTTTGCCGTATGTAGTGACGCGTCTCCCTGTGTACCCGAGAACTCTCAGTCAGTAGATTCAGTACAGGTGTTAGTTTCTCCTTCAGCTTTTGGCCCTGTGTACAATTAAACAGCTTACATATGTCACTAAAGATGAATAAAAACTGGGTAACACTATATAATAATATAGTGTTAATAGTGTGATAACACTATTAACACTATGTATATATAAAAAAAA